CACGTCGCCGATGTGGTCGAAGTGATTGTGTGACCAGATGACGGCCGCGACATCGGTGCTACGAACATTGGTATGGCCGCTGTCTGCCGCCTCGTCCAGCATGGTGGGCACGTCAGTTCCTGGGGTCACGACCGTTGTGGCAGATATCAGGGCGACCGTCTTGGGGGCATAGTTGCGCCAGTCAGGCCGCGTGCCGAGGTCAAAGACCACATGCTCGCCAGTTCTGTTGTTGGAGACCAGGAAACAGTATATGGGTGCGTGTAGGCCGGTGAAGCCGTCGACCTTTGGCCGCCAGAACAGTTCGGGGTTGAGGTGAACGGTCGTGTTTCTATTTTGAGCCATGTCAGTCATCAGCCCCACAAAGCAAGGACAGACCAGGCACCATACGTATCGATAACACGGACATCGACCGAGGTGGAGGACTCGGGGATGTTGGCGACTCGTGGGATGTTTGAGGCGGACATGCTGGTCTGTCCGAGGGGGATGGTTCACCGTGAGAGCTGGCAGCAGTAAACGAAGCGGCAATGTAAGGGCGAATGTGGGTTTTGCGTTGTTCAGCTCGGAAATGTCCCATGACGGTGCAGAAGCAACCGTCCCGCGCCATACATCTCCGCAACTCTATAGTCGTGTGTAAGTTCAGGGTCGTGTCAAAGCAATGGTTTACAAGGGGCAATGGTCCAAGCAATATCACCACGTGCCCAAGTTGTCTGGGGTTCGGCACCGGGTGCACGGCGAAATTCCCAAGAAGCGCCGTCTCATGATCCACTACCGAGCAACTGATATGAGCTTGAACCGGCTTGGCCCGCGGAATCCACCCTATTGCAATATTGTTGAAGATAACTGAATCCATGGGCCGCGTGTTTGGTATCTCACGAATGAGAGTCCAGGCCTTTGAATTGAGTCAGCATCCCAGATATATGACTCGTCCGTCTGCAACACAGAGTGAATAGTCCTTACTATGGAGCGTTCGGGATGCATTGGTCAGACAAGCTCAGGAACACGAGGTGTGGGAGTTACCGGCGGGTCAGGTATGCCGCACGCTCCTTTCATAACTTCAACCTTGCAAGAAGGCATGCAACCATAGCTACCGGTAGAGTTGCCCGGGAAGATTGAGATCGATGATTTAATTATTTATTCGTATAAATAAGTATATATTGAATTTAAAGAGAGCTTAATATGCCAAATATGAAAGCTAAAATAAAGATTATTACAATTTTCATGAACTTAAACATGATTTTTTAATTTAGCCTTTTTTTTAAAAAGAAATTAATTACCTTTAAAAAACAAATAATTATTAATAAGTTAAACTTAAATACTTATTATAAATATTGATATTATATTATTGTCATTTTACTTAGTAACCTTAAATTTTAATTAAAGTATCAACAAATTTAGAAAAATATTGTGATTGTGTAGGCACTACATGAGTGAATACTGCAACAGGATGATCTACCCTGCGCGGCTTCGCTCAGTGTGAAGTAGAATCCCCACAACTTGAGCATTGAATTCAAATAACTTGTCTTTATCATGATAAAGGGTCTTTTGATGCCTAGACAAAATAGCATCCGTATGCCCGAAAAAGCCTGGGCGCCATGCGATATTGAGGCTTTGGTGTTTGGGCGACCCCTTCCCCCTTATGGCTGCGGCCCATGCCCTAATTTAAAGCAGTATATACCACGATGTCCAGGCGTTCCTAGACTACACCCTCAATCAATAGATTTTTTTTCCTTCTGCACATCGCCGACCTATTCTGCATTGCCCTACCATAGGGTATATTCGTTCATTATGCGTTCCGTGTCAAGCCACTCGTTTCTGCTTTCGACACTGCTGCTTCACAGCGGCAACCATGCTTTAGGTGCCCCCAGTCCTAAGCCCCGTGCGGAATGCACTCCGAGTCCAGCTGGGCGAACTTTCGACTACGTCATTGTGGGCGGTGGCACTGCTGGCTTGGTCCTTGCGAACAGGCTCACTGAGAATGCCGACATCAATGTCGCTGTTATCGAGGCCGGGACGAGCCCAGAGGACGTGGCAGGAAACTTGACCCTGGTGCCAGGCTACGCCGGCGAGCTCTACGGGAATGCCGCCGAGCTGAATTGGGGCTTCTCGACCACGCCCCAGGAGGTATTCAAGGGACTTACACTCAAAGGTGTCATCAAGTACTGACACACTGATTAGTCTCTTTTGAACCGAACGTTGACGTACATGCGAGGCAAAACGGTAGGCTTCTTGCACTCGTAGACTCTCTGGTCTTGGGGAGGGAAAATGCCAGTGACTGATTACTCCTTCTGTAGCTCGGCGGCAGTGGCGTCTTGAACTTCATGAACTATGGACAGACCTGCAAAGGTGCTCACCAGAAGTGGGCCGATGTTGTCGACGACCAGTCTTACACGTACGAAAACATGTTGCAATACTACCACAAGGCCATGAAGTATTCCCCACCGAAAGTCGGTGCTCGCTCAGCCAATGCCACCGCCTCGCTCCCCGCCGCGGACGCCGCGATCAATGGAACACTGCCCGTTACTTTCGGAGCATATGTACAGTCTTGGAGCACGTGGGTCGCTTTGGGTCTCGAGGCCATCGGCATCCCCCAAGTCTCGGCCTTTGTGGATGGCAGCAATCTGGGGTGGGCCTGGAACCTGTATACCATCGAATCGCCAGAGGCTACTCGAGCGACCTCGGAGACTGCCTACCTGCAGCCTGTTCTCGGGCGTCCCAATCTCGCTGTTTTCGACTATACGTTCGCTCAGCGCATCATATTTGATGACCAAAAGACCGCCACAGGCGTCGCGGTAACCTCGACAACCACCAACTGCTCGTACACGATCTCTGCGGACAAGGAGGTCATTCTCTCGGCGGGCGTTTTCCAGTCACCCCATCTACTGCAGGTCTCTGGCGTGGGTCCCAAGGCCGTGCTGGAGCGGTACAACATCAGCCTGGTTGCCGAACGGCCCGGCGTGGGCCAGAACTTGCAGGACCAGGCCACCACACTCGTAATGTACCAAGTCGACCTAATCACCAACACGCGGCTGAGCCAAGATGCCGAATACGCCGCCGCAGTTGAGGAGGAGTACAAAGCCAACCGCACGGGGCCCTTGACCGCACCAGGAGGCGACCTCTTCGGACTCGAGAAGATACCAGAGGAGTTCAGGACCGGATTCTCGAATGAAACCAAGGCCTGTGAGTAACAACAGCCGGAACCTGAGCAAACCCTGTCAAAACTCTGCTGACACGTGTGCCCTCCGGCGTAAAGATCTGGACGAACTGCCCGCAGACTGGCCCGAGGTAGCCTACGCCGTCTACCCGGGCGGCGCCACACAGCCAGAAGAGGGGGCCAACTACGCCATCATGCAGGCGTGGTCGATGGCCCCCCGTTCCGTCGGCTCGGTCACGATCCAGTCGGCAGACATGGCCGTGGCGCCGGTCATCGACCCCAACTGGTTCAGCTCCCAGACGGACGTCGAGGTCACGATCGCCGGGCTCAGGCGCATGCGCCAGGCACTCAACACCTCGGCCATGGCCCCTGTCCTGGTCGGTGACGAGCTACTCCCCGGCCCGGATGTCCAGACGTACGACGAGCTCGCCTCATTTGTGGCCCAGCGGGGCAGCACCATCTATCATGCCGCGGCGACCAACAAGATGGGCAGGACCTCAGACCCTGACACGGTCGTCGACAGCCGGGGACGGGTAATCGGGGTGCAGAGATGTAAGCCCCTCAACGAGCCTCCCAGGAAACACAATACACAGTCTCAAGGCCGACGCTGACATCGAACAGTGAGAGTGATCGATGGATCTGCATTCCCTTTCCTGCCGCCAGGGCCCTCGCCTTATACACAAGTTTGTAAGTTCAATCATCACTAGATAACCAGAACAGGTTCGTTACTGACCCGAATAGTCATCTTGGCCGAGAAGCTCGCCGATGATATCAAGGACACGGTCTACTAATAAGTAGTATCTTTGATTTCTCAAACCAAGCTGATAAGCTTGCTGTCTTGTTGGATCTTTTCGCTGTGCCGCCACAGCTATTCGGTTCTGGTACAAGCTCGTGGCTCTACCATTAATCTCCTTAGCTAGAAAATGATTAAATTTACTTTATTTAATTGACTCTGCTGCGGACACGCTTAATAGATTCAGAACCTCAGACGCGTGCACTGGTTGGCTTTGTCGTGTGTCGACTTCGGCCGTAGGATTGTTGTCAGATGAAATTTGAAGTTGCAATGTCGTCCCTTTGAGCAGGTCCGGATCCCCAGTCTGGGACGTATCGGCTTTTGTTCTTATCCATTTCGGACAATTTGAAGGCCTCAGCCACATAGTAGCGGCATCTTGACGGTGCTTAACAGCGTAAGGCTAGCTTGTATCTGGGAAGGGTGAGCAACGGGGCTGCTTGCGGCCTTCGAGGTAAGCTCGAAGGGGTGGCCTGCACGGGCTGCGAGCCCTGCGCCGGCTGGCACCAGCTGGCAGTCCTCGTGCCGCTACCTTGTCTACAAAACGTGCCCGCCAAAGCTTGGCGCTGGGTAATAAGCTTGGCGCTGGGTGAGCTTGGCACTGGGTAGGCTTGGCGCTGGGTAGGCTTGGCTCTAGGTAGCCGGACGTGTAGAGCTGATATCATTGAGTGACTCGAGCGCAGACTTGCAGCGGTGTCAAAGCGAGGGGAAACAATACAGGGTGTTCAAGAGGTCTATCAGGCGATCACGTTCATATAAGTGACTTGGGTGTAAAAAGTTCTCTCGACGAGTTGTGCTTGATCAAAGTTGGGTGGTTGTCGTGAAGGAGGGTGCGATCGGCAGCGAGGGGGCCGAGAGTTGAAATCGGGCACACTGTAGAATATTCAGGTCTGTAAAACATCACGACCTAATATTTAGGCTTTCCAGATCATGAGCAAATATATGATTCTCCCCACGCACACCTTTCTGCACCTACTACGCTTGGCTAGTCAAACTCATGAACTACGTTCCTGGATCAATAATCTAGTCTACTAGTAAAGTAGATCTTATACTAGCAAGATGGCGATGTTCGGGGCTGATTCTATCGCCGCAAAGCTCCTAGCAGTCCCGGTCAGTACTCCTCAACGAATGCCCCCGGCCCTTTACATTGCCCCGAAGTACAATTTGGAGGATTTGTACATCTAGTCTCCTGAGAAGATACTTTTTATGTGCGCTGGTTGTGCAGCACCTCGAGCACTCTCTGAAGCTGCCATAAACAAAAATGCTGACTACGGAAAGATGAAAATGTGGCCCTTCATCCTCATCGCTGTTGTAGCGTTCGCAGCAGTACGGCTCTTTCAATCTTTGTCAAAGCAAGATCCGATTTCCAAGATCCCACTTGTTGGCGGCGAAATCGAGGATGAGAGCACGAGGCGCATGATATTTGCAAAGGGAGCAAAACAAGTATACCAGGAAGGGTACCGCAAATTCAAGAATGGATTGTTCCGAGTCTCTTCGCCCCGAGGTATGAAGGCAGAATCTCCATTGGCATGATGCGAGGCTGAGGGGCTGACACTGAAAACCTAAACAGAATCCACGGTCATAGTTGTCTCGCCGCACTTCATGAAGGAACTAAGCGCTCTTCCTGACGACCAATTAAGCTTCCACGGGGCTTTGAAAGAAGTGAGTACCTTGGTGCGGAGTTCTGACGCGGAAAGCCAAAGCTGACGGCGAGGGAGAAAATGCAATCGCGGTTTACCCATATAACTGTGGATATTCCTATTGTCCCTAGTATTGTGAGAAACGAACTCACCCCCGCGTTGAGTAAGAGGATCCCGTGCTTAGAGATCTATTGTACCGGTGCTGACATTTCATAGACCGTCTGAATCCCATTATCGCCGAAGAAGTGGCCATGGCTTTCCAAGATGAACTCCCCCCCTGCAAGGACCTCACCAGGGTCCCAATCAACCGCGCCCTCTGGAGGATTGTTGCCAAGGTCTCGGGCCGCTTTTTCGCCGGCGCCGAGCTCGCGCGTTCCGAGGAATACATGGACATGAGCATCAACTATACGCTGGAAATCGCGGGCGCCGTGAAAGGTATCGCTGCGATCAAGCCAGAGGAGAGAGCGGCCAAGGCTCCAAGTCTCCCCCAGCTCCTACAGCTTCAGAATCGGCGGAAGCGGACCCTCGAGTTTATTCGCCCGCTGATCGCTGCTCGCAAGAAGGCAATGGCCGAGGATATAGATTACCAGGCGCCCGACGACATGATCCAGTGGATCCTCAACGGCGAGGGCAAGTACGGCAAGCTCTCTGTCGAGGAGCTCGCGGAGATCCAGCTCTTTCTCATTTTCGCCGCCATCCACACTACCACCATGACAACGATCAACGCCTTTTACACGCTCGCCGCCATGCCCGAGATAGCCCCCGAGATGCGCGACGAGATCCGCGCCGTGCTAATGGAGCATGGCGAGTTTTCCACCCCTGCGCTGCAAAAGATGGAGAAGCTCGACAGTTTCCTGCGCGAGGTCATGCGCGTGTACCCGCTGTCGCTGTCCACGTTCCAGCGCAAGGTCTACAGGCCAATCACCCTGTCGAGCGGCCAATTCATCCCCGCCGGCGCCATCATCGAGATCCCCGCGCACAGCATAGTCCACGACCCGGAGCGCTTCGACAGGCCCGGCGAGTTCGACGCGTTCCGCCACTGCCGGGCGCGGCGCAGTGCCGGCGTCGCGAGCCCCGACGGCGGGAAGAAGGCGCCGGGCGCAGGTGGTGCTGCCGCCAACCAGATGGTCTCCACCAGCCTGAACAACTTGCCATTTGGATACGGGCGGCTGGCGTGTCCCGGACGGTTTTTTGCCGCGAATGAGATCAAGATGATTGTGGCGCGGGCGATTCTGGATTACGAGATCCAGCTGGCAGACGGGGCTGCGGAGAGGTACCCGAATATCGAATACAACGAGGCTGTAAGTCTGTTTCCGCCTTGCCCAGGTGGCCTCTTGTCTTTCTGTCGTGTACGACTGCGGTGTGCTGCGCTGCAACGTGTTCGTGTGAGGTGACAACTCGCGGCTGACTATCGCCCTCTTTACAGAATATCCCCGACCCGTCCAAGGAACTAATGTTCAAGCGGGTGCCTATCTAACCATCGATGCTCTGTTTTGCCAAGGTTTTCCTGTTTACGACTATTTCGGCAATGCAAGGGACGAAGGCAGTGGCAGAGGTCTAAATCGGAAAGGACAAACAAATTCGCAGTGTAGGCAAGTGATTGTGTGGGTTGCTCCGTGTGTACAATAGGTAGTCATCAGTATACCCGTTTTCGCGTCCGGTACGCGTGCAGACTAACAATCCAAAGTAATGGCACCGTGATCCAGCCCCTGCTAGCTATATATGGAGCCAGCTACTGAATATACCTGTACCTGCACGGAATCACGGGTGTATCACCACTCTATGTCGATGTGGTGGCCCTTGACATCACCATTGAACCACTGAACAACCTCTATCCGCTCCTCACTCGTCCGAGCCCCCTCCAACACTTCACTATCGACGACCGCCGCCACCGTCTCCAACAGCTGTTGCATGGCCAGGTTCTTGCCCAGACAGGCACGCAGGCCCGACCCGAAGGCAATCAAGCTCCTTTCCATGTGCGGGCGGTACAGGCCGCCGCTCCTCCCGTCGTCGACCCACCGCTCCGGCCGGAAGGCAAAAGGGTCGGGGAAGACGGCAGGGTCGTGGTGCAGTACGTAGGCCGCGCAGCCGACGACCGCACCGGCGGGGATCGAGATGCCGTCGACCGTCAGGTCCGCGCCGGGCGGCACCACCCGCGTCAGCCTCGCGGGGTTCGCCATCCCCAGGCGCAGCCCCTCCTTGACGCACGCGCGCAGGAAGGGGACGTCGGGCCTCCTGCTGTCGCCCGCCGTGGCCGTAGGCGCGGCGCGGATGTCGTGCAGGAGGCGGGCGCGGGCCTCTTTGTTCTGCGTCAGGTGGAAGAGGGTGGTGGCCAGCATGACGGCGGTCGAGTCGCCGCCTGCGAAGAGGATGGCTTCGCATTGCACAGTGGTCTCTGGGAACGATATGCCTGCCGCGAGGAGGCGGTCCTGGTAGTGCTCGGTTGTCTTGGCCTGCTTCGTGCCCGTCATGACTTGGCCCATGAACTCCTGAATCCTCCCAAATGACTTGTCCACTTTGTCACCGTGGCTAATCTTTTGGGAGACCGAGTAGACAAGTTTGAAAAGAGTGTTTGGAAGTAACGAGAAGCGCGCAAATCCCACGATGGCGTGTATAAACTCGTTGGCGCTGAGTTTCGCATCTGGAGCCTGCTGTTCAGCCAGGCCCAGATGCGCTTGCTCAGCCAGCCCGCCAAATGGCTGACCTAGCACGTAGTCAGAGACCACGTCGATGGAGAGCTTTGCACAGAGATCCAGAATATCCGTCTTGATCCCCGCTTTCCGGAATGCGCAGAGCTGGCTCAAAAAGTCCGCCACGTGTCGTCCGATGGAGCCTTGGGCGCTGCTCTCTTCCCGCAGCCGCGCAGGCGAGAACAGCGGCGCGACTGCCTTGGCTCTCACATCACGGTAGGCTGTGTCGATAGAGGAGAATATTGAAACCACCGGCCCGAGGTTGAAGTTTTGATATCGGGCATCCTTGAGAAACCCCCCGCCCGCCACGTAGATGTCCCGGACGGCATTGCTGTCGGCCACTGAAATGGCATTGGGGCCTACACGAAGGACCTTGGTCTTGTACTTCTCATGGTATCGGCGTATCACGCTGCCCTCGATGCCGAGGTAGCATATGACGTAAAGAAAGAGGGAAGAGATGGCAGCAAGTGGCGGCCCTGGCACATGAGCGAGGGGGTGGAAACGTAGTCGGTATATGACCGGAGCCGCCAACAAGAGAACGAGGACGAATGCTGACTCATACATATTGAAAGAAGTGACGGGAATGGCAACATCTGTAGGTGTGATACTGCTAGAGAGTTGCCTACCTTTGAACAGAGGTTTTTAGTCGACGGCATTGATGAGACTTCGGCCGCCTGAACCTCCGTATCACAATGACATCCTTTCAAATCGATAAGGATGGTTCAATGGTGAGTACACAGGGAAGGTCCATGCGAAAAAGTTCTTAAGTACATGTCTACTCGGTGTCAGATGAGGCTTACTCAGTGACCTGACTCCGTGCTTTGCACCAAACGCCGAGCGCTACTGTAGCTGTCTAGCGCTACCGACTTGATTTCGGAGACGGCAACGACAAATTAAATTATAGAAGGCAGCGACTGATCAGATCAAGGGATACAGCAACGTTTAGCACTTTTGGAAATCCATAGTTCGTCTGTAGGTCGCTCGCAGCCACTATCCTCTCCACAATGACAAACCAAATTGTCCAGACCCTGAACGGGATCAGCGCCGACTCTTTCGAAAACGATGGCCAGCGCATGGAGGCTGTGGCGGCAGCCTATGCTCTCGTGGCCCGCCTCGAAACGCCGTGGGACTTCGTGTTGAGGCTTGCTATGGGTCAAGTGAGCATAAATTTCCTTCTACAAGACATTATTGATACCAAAATGCTAACAATTCCCAAAGCCAGCCCTCGGTGCCGCCCTGAAAATTGCGCTGGATGTACAGCTGTACCAGAAATGGCACGAGGCGGGCGATGGTGCAAAGACCCTGGAAGAGCTGCACGAGCTTGTCCCACAAGTTGAGCCGAAACTCCTCCGTTCGTCGACCCGCGCAGCTGTATTTTAAGCATTCTAAGATGTTTTTATGTCTGGATTTGCGACATGGGGTGCCTATTTGTCTAACGAATCTGGTTTACAGTCCGTTTGCTTCGGCATCTAGCAGCATATCATGTCTTGGAGGAGCCGTCTTACAGCGTCTTCAAGCCCACGGCGCTATCGATCTCTTTCAACAAGCCTGTATTCTCCGAGTGGATAAATCATCAGTATGTATTGGCTTGAATCTACGGTCCTCCCCCCAGACCTTATTGACATGCGTCGCAGATATGATGCCACGATTCCGTGTTTCTTCAAGCTGCCACGCTACCTAGCTCAGACGGGATATCAGAATCCGGTAGACCCTAACGACGGAGTCTTTCAGTACGCCAAAGACTGCAGGGGCAAGGACATGTTCCATTACTACCAGGAGAACCGTGTCGAAGGCGAATCCTTCAACCAGGTCATGGGCGGCGTCATGGCGAACCAGTCAGGATGGCTGGAAATATTCCCTCATGACACGTTAATCTCCAACGCCAAGCCAGATGCACCACTTCTGGTCGACGTCGGCGGGAATATCGGCCATGACTTGGACAGATTTTACCAAGCCCACCCGGAGACCGCCTCGCGTCTGTATCTGGAGGACCTTGCTGAGGTTGTCTCGCTCTCCAAGTGTCCGGGCCCGGTCAACAAGATCGGCTACGATTTCTTTACGCCACAGCCGATCAAGGGTAAGGTCCATAACTTACACGCTCACCATTCCTCAGGCGCACGTTCTTTTCTCTGTTCTGACCATCTTCCCAGGCGCACGGGCTTACTACATGCACGGAGTCCTTCACGACTGGTCCGACGAGCCAGCACGTAAAATCCTGGAGATGCAGCGGGATGCACTGACGCCCGGATACAGCACGCTGTTGATCCACGATCACATCGCCCCGGAGACTGTCGCCCACCCGCACACTACCGCCTACGACCTGACCATGATGGTGATGGTGGCTGGGGAGGAGCGGAGTGAGGTGCATTGGCGTGCGCTTCTCAAGTCGGCAGGGTACCGTATTGTCAAGATCTGGTCTTCGCCGCTTGCTGTGCAGAAGGTCATCGAGGCGGAGCTGGACGTGTAATTATGGAAATGAAGAGGGTCTTGTTCTAGCATGAAATAGGCACATGGCCATTTTGCTGTGCTGCTGGTTGGAGTCTATCACTACAACGACAGTAGCGGCTCTCAGGCTCATTTGAAGAGCTCCGAGTTCGCCTCGACCCACTCCCGGAACCCAGTGGCAGGCTTCCCCGTGTACTTCTTCACATTCTCCACGCCCTCCTTATAATGCGCCAGCCACGAACCATCCTCCAACTCGGGGTCTGTGTCCCCCAGAGACCTAATCATGTACTCCGCCATTGGCTTGGGAGCACCCTTTGCAAGATACTGCGCCAGCGCCTCCTCCGCGGGAATGCCCGAGACCTTGATCTCCTTGCCCAGCACCTCGCCAACAATCTCCAGCCCCTGCTTCTGCGACAGAATCTGCGGGCCATACACAAAGACCTTGTGCTGCCCATCCCGCGGCTGCCCCTCGGCCAGGATCGTCCCGACCACCCCGCCCATGTCGCCGGGCGTGACGCAGTCAGTCTTAAACCCAGGCCCGTACATCTTGACCTCCCCGGCGGCAATCCCTGCCTTTTGCCGCAACAAATTCGTCGCAAACCCCCCAGGACGCATAGCCACATACCCTCCCGGCCCGTAGACCTCATCCAGCGTGACCTCGACCCGCGCGTGCGCGTACGGGATGAACTCGCCCGGCCGCACGTCCGCCGGCCGCGCGCGCCCGATGGTGGAGCTGCTCAGCAGCACGACAAGCTCGACGCCGGCGGCCTTGAGCGCCTCGGCGGTGCCCCTCATGAAGTCGGGCGTGCCCTGGGCGACGTAGATGAAGGCGCGCGTCGCGCCCGCGGCCCTGACGGCCGCGGCGACGGTGTCGGGCCTGCTGAGGTCGGCCCGGACGCGCGAGTAGTTGCCGGCTTCCTCGGCCGCGGCGGCGAGGCCCGGGATGGCTTTGGAGGGGTCGCGCATGGCGAGCCAGACTTTGGCGCCGTGTTGGTGGGCCATTCTCGCGGCGGCGGAGCCAATGTTGCCTGTTGGGCCGAAGACGATCACGGTGGCCATTTTTTGGGGGGCGTAGACGGTGCCTATGGTGGTGAATTGTCCTGAAGTCAGGGTGCTGAATGTTTGCTAGAGAATATGTAGATACTCGAGAGGAGCTTGGCGCAGTGGTGATTGCTCATTTATGTCTCGATGGATGAACTAGTCATGCTCGGCATGAATACGTGTGGTAAGAAAGGTTCATAGGCCAGCAAGCCTCCACCCACCCATCCTGCAGCTGTGCGGTCCACCCAACCAACAGTTCTCAGCCACCCAACCAACAGTTCTCAGCCACCCAACCCAGTACCAAAAATAGATGTGTAGTTAAATTGATATTTATTCAAAACATAATGTTGAAGAATTAAACTTTAGAATACTTAATGATAATTTAGAAGAAAAAAATAAAACCTTAATCATTGTTTATATTTAATTTATTAAATTTAATAGTTATTTAAAAGTAATTTTAATGATTTTTAAAGCTTAAGATTTAAGAATCATAAAGTTAATATATAGGAAATACTATTATTATTTCCTTAAAATCAATAGCTACCAAGCTAATTTCTATCATTAAAATTTACTACTATACCTAGCTGTTTACCCTAGTAATGCGAGATTTGATTCGCCCTGGTTATTCGCTTTTTTAAGCTCCACACCACGATCAACCTCGAGTTTAACGAGCTATATAAATGCATATTCTACTTGGTATCCGTGTTCAGTATAATCGCAAGTACTACTTAATTCTTTTCAGGTTTTAAAATCTTCAAGTTGATGTTTAATCTTGAAATACTTAGGTAGCTTCGAAATCCACAAGATTGTTTAGATGCTGCACGAAACTGGCGCTGTTCAACACAGAATAATTAATATGCACAGAAATTCAATCTTGTTATTGACAAAGCCCCTGATATTAGCATCGACATCCCGATGTGTCTGCATCGGCTTCTCAGCTACACAAGCTACGAACACCAGATAAGCAAAATTTCTAGTTTGGCAGTGCTAGGTTTCCAGATACTGGAGCGCGCATTTCCGATGCTTCCTCTCCCTTTCTCTTGTAGGCGTTGTACCCGGAACCGTGCGCCCCAGGCACTGGAAATCCGAGGAGGACTTTCTGGCGATCGGATAACTTTGCCTTTACCTCCTCGGTGAGAAGCCGCGGGTAGTCTTCCATCTTCTGCACGAAATATCGGACAAAAGTCAGAATGACGAGCGGCCGGGGCTCATCTGTGTGGTTATCGCCCGTGGAGTGCCATGCGCGACTGTCTAGAAGCAGGACCGTCCCAGCGGGAGCGCAGGCAGGAATTGAGCCTCCCTGATTGGTAGTCAGCGATTGAATCAGCAAAGGGGGCCAAGACACAGTCGTCAAGGACACAATCCATTGACCACTACTTACAGCATCACTCATGTGTCCCAGGGGTGCCACGTTCTTCAAATGCGACCCGGGGTATATCAGAGTGGCACCCTTCTCAGGTGTCAAGTCGGTCAAATACCATATGGCGTTCAACATGTACGAAAAATCGATTTGATCGGGTGGCATCGACGACTGGTCTTTGTGCATATGAATGCCACTTCCTCCTCGGAGAGCAACATTAGCTGACATGTTGTAGATCTGAAAACCTTCGCCCAAGAACCATGGCGCGAAGGTTTCAAGCAAAGGGTGATTGAGCATGTCGAGGAACTCATCACCCTTGTTAGGAAGATTCCTAGGCACAAATAAATTAGAAAACAGATCCAAGTCTGCAAGCAAGGAAGAAGTCTTCTCACCATATACGTTGGTTGTCCCCTTGCATATGCGCGACTCCATTGATCCGCTCACCAGCTCCTTGTTCTAGGACGGCACGCCTGAGGATCTTGACTTGCTCAGGCGAAAGGGCGTTGGCCAGGTATGCATAGCCCCATTTCTTGATATCCCGCTTGATCTGCTCGGGATCCTCTGTGGGCTTAGGCAAGCTGTCATGGTCCAGCTCGCTCCCCGGAGTCATGGGGCCTGGGAGACCCAGGGGAGCAAAACACGACGCAAAGGCACCAGGACACGGGGGGTCTGCATGCCTGGTGAACATGTTTTGTGTCAGCAGGCGGCCTGTGATGGCGTCCAGCACACAGGCCGGCGCAATATTTGCTACCACGTCAGGCTCGGCGTCCTTCGGTGCCGCACCAAGCAGCTTGACTTCGCTTTCGCGTGCATCGATATATATGGGACCGGCATGTTGCGACCCTCGACGAAGTGATAACAGTGCGAGCTGTTGGAGGCCAGAAAATCTCTGTGATTCACTGTCAGTCACGGGCGCTTGGACGAGAACTGGAACCTGGATGCCTGCCTGAAGGTTGTCCCGAACCCATTCGAGAACTTCGGCGCTGTCACGATTGAAAACCTCTATGGAGTCTTCGTCGGGCAGGTACACATGGGAACTGAAGTCAAGCCCAGGGGTCAACGGTTTGGACGGTGCTGGTAGCGTGGTCGGCATCTTGGGCTTGTCGGTGAAACGCAAAACACAGTCTAGAGTTTGTATTGGTTTTGATAATCCTAAAGTTGTTCGAGTCGTGGTCGTAACGACAAGAAACTGTTTATTATAGCAGGCTGCTCAAATGTGCAAGGGTTAGACTGATACGAGTCTCCTATTAAACTGAATACACTGAGTGGCTTTAGGAGCACAGCGTCGTCAGTTAAGTCTTTTTAGAAAGGTTAAATTTCAATTAAAAAAAAAACAGAAATTTATTAAATAAGTATAACTAAAGCATTTTTATTTACAATTAGCCTTTATAAAAATCCAGTATATAACTTTCATGAAATATTATTTTAAATATTTTTATAATTACTATAATATTTAAACTTTAAACCCCAATTGAAAAGCTGATAGCTTTAAAAGCTTAAATTTATAAGAGGTATATTGTGTTGGAAAGTATATTTGAAGTGTGTAACTCAAAGTGGCTCTCTGTACGGGAGCTGCACAGCACTGGGTGAGAGAATTTACAGGGGGTATCCGTGCTGAGCCGAGGGTACCGATTCCCAACATGGTGTTCAGCACCGGGTAAATGATAGACTTTCCAAAGAACTTGTCATAATTCATTTTGCGCCTAGTAGAACCGTGGCCGAACACTGACTCGGGTACTAACCACGGCACCTGGGCAGCGTGTTGCAACTGCGGCCTCTGCCCGAGACCCTGGTAAACGTCAGACGAGTCGGAGGACGGGCATGAAGGTGCCTCGATTCCTCTGAGATGGCGGAAAACCTTCAGCCCGTTGTCATGACCTCGATATGAATGCCTCCTTAATAACGGGTATAAGCAATTAGAAAGATCATTTCGAATACATTTCGTAGTCGGCATTGCGCCAGGAGACTAAATCCACTTCAACTCGACAGCCATCGCATACTACGACAGTTGTTCCCGTCGTGTTGCCTGTGCGACTAGCCACAGTCTCGAGATGGGCTCCATCGCGCTCGAAGAGACAAACTTGGAGCGAGGCGTTAGCGAGCAATCCGAGTTCCCATCTTCAGTAGCCGGCATTGATGTGTCCAAACTGGATGACGATGCGCTCTACTGGTGGCGCACCAGCGGATTGGACCTGGCCCGCATGATGGAGGAGGCTGGGTTTCCCGACAAGACGAAGAATCAGTTCCTCACGTTCTACAGTTCTGTTATTTGTCCATTGCTTAGAGGAAAGCCTCAGCCCGGATCAATGCCGACTGCCGTGGGCTGGGATGGCAATCCCTTTGAGTACAGCTGGGAATTTAAAGGCTCCACCAAGAAGTCGAGTGTCCGGTTTGTCTTGGATCTGAGCGAGGTTCGCCCTCCAAACAAGGACTGCCCCATGAGTGTGTATACGGTGGAAGAGGTTCTCAAGGTTCTGAAGGACAAGAGTCCACTTTATGATGATCATTGGGTACGTTTATCCGGGCGCCCCTTCCGGCGGAGACGATGTCTTCCCCGGGCCACTAATGGAAAAGTATCATTTGCAGGCTGCTTCGACAATCATAGCGAAGAAGCCATTTAAGACTGACTCTGAATTTAGCATCGTGCGATTGAGCGGTGGGCAGTGTATTCAAATGCATCGGCCGAGAGGCAAGAACTTTTGATATCCGAAGCGGGACATCGGACGCCTACTATTCTCGGCTTCGACATCAACCCCAAGATCACCGAGAAAGCCCCACATATGCTCCCCGTCATGATCAAGAGCTACTTTCCACCATGTTTCGTTGCTGCAGACCGCCGCCTCACGCGTTTCCAGGCCCTTTCCTTGGGCGTGCGCCAGTTGCCCGACATCGGGTCGCACCCGAATATCCTGCTTGGGCTGAAGATGATCGAAGATTTCGTGGCCGACAACCCCAAGTATGAGTCTCAGGGCCGTGGGCTGTCCACTGATTTTGTGCCCGCCGGCGACGCCCGCCTCAAGGTGTACTTGCGGTACCTGGGCGACGACTTCGATGAGATCTGGGACTATTACACGCTCGGCGGGCGGATCCCCATCGCAGACCTGGACGAGGATAAGCAGAAGCTGCGGGACATCATCCAGCTCTCTCGGGGGATGTGCTATCCTGTCCGCAAGATCCGCGAGGAGAGCGCGGCCGACAAGAAGCGCCGCGCCATTCTGGGCACGAAACCTTCGTCGCTGTACTTCTCGCTCACGCCTGACAAGCCCTACCCCATCCCCAAGTTCTACTTCTACCCGGGCTTTCAAGCGCCCAATGACGAGGCCGTGGCGCAGGGACTTGATATCTGGCTGCAAAAATATGGATGGGCCGATGGCGGGCCCACCATCGAGGATCGAACCAGGAACACATTGTGAGTTTCCATCAATCACCCGCTGATCCCCCTCGCCCTATGGCCACTACCCACCTCGCTAACATCTCTGACAGCACATACCGGGGCCTTGATGAGAAGCCGGGTATCTTCACGTTTATTGGCTTCGGAAGGAAGGAAGGTCTCGACGACCGTGCGCTGAGTTTGCAAGTATATGTGACACCTGAGTTGTATGAAAACCCGCGTTTCTAGGGAAAGGAAGGACAAAGTGCTTAGTAGCAAAGAGTTGGCATATGTTATTGCTTTAATGTATTACTTATGTATTTTTATTAATTTTAGAAGAATTATCTTCCTAAATAATGTTGATATTTTTTTTCCTAATCGAAGTAGCTTGATTCTAAGTTTAACCGAGTAGCTTCTCAAATACATTACTCGGTTCTAGAGATGTGTGCTGAACCTACCAGGGGGGAGGGGGGTTTCTAACTGGGTCACGCAATTCACTTATGTTTTAACATTTAATCAAAATTTCATAATTCTAGCGAAATGCTAGTAAAAGGCTATTAAAATATTATTAAAACGAAATTATATTAAAGCTTTAAATTATGTTAATATTAACTTTATATTAACGTTAACTATATATTAGCCAATGTTATTATAATTTTATATTAAAAGCTTTAGTTTAAACCTTATTAACTTTAAACTTATTTCTATTTTTAAATATTTTTATAATTTTATAAATCCTTCTATAGTAAATAGTTAAGCTAGTAAAGAATAAATAAGTAGTTAGGTTGGGGATGAGGAAAAAAAAGGAGTTTTTTTTTACCCCTATATCAAGGGTTGATATTATATCACAATATGTTAGTGATATGTAAATAATGCAAGGCACATAAAAAAACATATTATTAGAACCTTGATAGCATGTTACTATTATGTTACTATCCCATTGGTTTGCTTGCAGCACCTAAACAAAACCCCCCCCTCCCCCTGGTAGGAAGCTTTAGCTCGATAATTACTTGAAATGAAATTCAGATGGCACGCCACAACTTTTTATTCTCTTTTCATTCACCCCAAACGTCAACGCTAAACCCTTTCCGGACAACGAAGATGCCGTTCACATACAAGTCAATACTTCTCGTGGGAGCCACTTCGGGAATCGGCGCCGGCCTGGCGGATAAATTCGTAGCTGAGGGTTCTCAGGTCATCGCCGTAGGTCGTCGCCAGGACAAACTCGACGACTTCGTCAAGAAGCATAATTCCGCCAATGCTGCCGCCATTAGATACGACATAACAGACACCGCAGGCCGGAATGCCTTTGTCAATGAGTAGGTCGGACTTAATAAAACGACCCAACAGAGGCAGTGGACTTAGGCTAACCAGGATATTCCCCAGAGTCGTCACGAGGTACCCAGACCTAGATGCCGTGTTCTTGAATGCCGGCGTCCAGAGCCAGATGCGCCTATCACGGCCTGCCGAGTTCGACCTCGACAGCTTCCACCATGAAATAAACGTCAACTTCACCAGCATCGTCAACCTAGCCATGTCATTTCTACCACACCTGCAGGCCAAGACACAGCCAACCAGCCTAATAATAACAGGAACTCACCTCGGCCTAGTGCCAGCTCCGACCATCCCTGCTTACTCGGCTTCAAAGGCGGCTCTGACCTCTTTCGTCGACTGCCTCCGGGACCAGAATCGCCACAAATCCACCAGGATTATCGAGATCTATCCTCCAGTTGTGCAGTGTAAGCCTTGCTCGATGTCCCTTGAGAGCCAGTGACCTATTCAGATCAACACACCGCTGACCAAATGCCTCAGCCGAGCTTCATGACTATCTGGGGGAGGAGCTAGGCCGCTCTCTTGGGATGCCTGCCGACCAGTTTACTCACGAAGCGTACGAACAGCTGTTACATGGCGATGAGCTTATCGTCATCGGGTCCATCGCCACCGAGCCGCGCGAGTCCTACATTGAACTGGTCGAGAGGCGCAGGCAGGTATACAGCAAGCTCTCGAGCGTCATGCTGGCGCGCTTCGAATTGTGAAGGACGAGTTTGGCGCTTGTTGTGGTGGAGAACCCGCGCATTGCTATGATTTGGGAGAGTAGAAAGTAGGTAGTAGCGAAGAGGACTCAAAATTGCGGAAATAAATACATGAAAAAGGTTTGATGACTCGGTATATCATCAATGTTCTGCCCGTAGGCGGAACACATCCTGCTCCTGAGCTTTCAGGAAGTTGCCAGAAATCGTCGAGTCACTGGATAGCTTCAACACTAACTACTCAGACTATGGCTCTTCTACGTATCATGATGCTTTTGCTAAAGTCCGGCGTGATGGAAGTCCCACGGACGTTATTAACATACCGCCCTTCCAACCCATCTGGCATCTTGATGTCATAATCTATCAAGATGAAGATGAGTATCAACTTGATCTCGGCCGCCGCAAAAAACCGTCCCGGACAGGCCGGCTTGCCAAACCCGAAGGCCATGTTCTCTTTCGTCACGGAGATGAACTGGTAGAGCTCACGGCTTGCATAACCAATAGGGTCGGGCTCTTCTCCGGACCTCAGGCGGACGAACCGGTAGGGGTCGAAGCGCAGCGCGCCGGGGTACTTGGACTCGTCCAGGTTGACGGGCAGCGCGGGCACGGCGATGTCGACACCAGCGGGGATCAGCGTTCCGTCTGATAGCCGGAACGACTGCAACACGCTGCGCTGCATCCTCATGACGTTGGTCGGGTTAAGTCTTGCAGACTCGCGCATGACAGAGTCCAGGAGTTTCATCTGGTAGAGGGCTTCGGCCGTGATCTTTCCGCCCTGGCCGTCCATTGCGGTTTGGATTTCCTTGCGGAGCTCAGTTATCACTTCCGGGCAGTGGCCGATGAGATCGTAAAGTCTTTCGAGCAGGTCAGCACGCGAGTGATGCTGGGCTGATAGAGTCCTCGGGACACTCACATGTGAACCACGGTCAACGTTGTTGTGTGAATGGCTGCCACGCCTAGCAGGATCAAGATCATAGCAATCTCTTCATCACTTTTGATGTCAAACTTGTCTGCCTTGTTGATCATCCACTGGAGCATATCCTTGGGCTTCGCACCAGCCTCCTGACCTGCTGTCGCCTTCCGCCGCTCCTGAATTCGAGGGATGAAGTAGTCATAGGCTTTTTGCCGATGCATGTGGAGTCTCTTGACCGGATCGATAAAACGAGCGGCGATGGCTCGCACCGGGCCCCAGTTGGGCCAAGCCTTCAGTTTCGCGATCGCGCCGAACAGGTCTACTGTGAAGGTGATGCTGTTGGTGATGTACTCTTCTTGGCGGTACATATCAGGGCCGACGAACGCGAGACCCGAAACGATAGCCACCACGCGCAGAAGTTTCGGGAAGACGTTCACCTCAACATACTGCGCATCAGACCCCAGCGCCTCGTGAACTGACCGCTGGACCTCGCCCGACAATTGCTGGGTCAGAAGGGGGATGTGGCGAGTGAGATCCGCCTTGACGACATGGACCATCAATGGGGTCGCAAAGGTGATCCCTAATAATTTGGTTTCGAATGTCTACATAACGTTGTGAATCATGAAGGATGCCAAAAGAATGTGATGGCATGCTGCACTAACCCTATCGTTTGCCACATCTCTGCTAACAACATGGTCTGGTTGCTTGTTGACTTCATCCGCAGCCAGTATGGGTAGTATCAATATATTTCCTGGGACAGATTAGTCAACATGTCTTTAAAGGGACTGTGGTCATCTTCCAAATAGAAGGGCTGTAGATACCATCTGTGGACTCTGTGCGCCAAACACGCGTTCGGAACTATCAGCAGTCAGTCAAGGCCATTTCCTTTCGACAGAGATATGAAAACCTTTTGGTAGCCCTCATGGAACACTTTCTGCGCATTTTGCAGGAAGTACTGGCGCTTCTGTGCAGAGGTTCCCGTCTGCTGTCCGAGAAGTGGGAAATGGGATGTCTTTGGGAGACTCGACAGCCATCGAAAAGCCAGGACAGCAATAAAGACGGCTAGAACACTGCCGGCAGAGTAGATGCGCGCTTCAGCATCGCCGAAGAGCTGCGCAATGTATGGAACCATGGAGCCAGCACCACCGCTCTGTTGGAGTACGCTGAATGAAACTCTAAGACTGATACGTCACGCTTGAACTACGGAGTCGGCAGCGAAACGTAACCGAATACGGTCTCGACGGCATGGAATGATTTTTCTGCGGGTGTTGGGGTCTTATTGGCGCCTGCGTTCTCATCATACTGAGTAATACTACCTGATAGGAGTGCCGACGACGAGGGCCGGCTAACTAGAGTTAAAGGGTATTAATAAAGATTAAAGTGAGATTACATATAGATTTATCTCGAATTTGCTAAATCTTTACCACTTTATAATTAACCCTCTAGTATACCTTTAAAGTTGTAAAAAAAAACTTAGTTAACTTTTTTAAAATACTTTACATAACTACAAGGTTTAATATAATATTTTTATCATAATGATATTTATAAATCAAAATGAATTTAATATATGTACACATATAATTAGTGGATCTTATTTATCACAAGTCTGATTAAAATCCTAGTAGCTTTCTTTAAAAGTCTTATACTGGGTGGGTATATGGAAATAGCTGGGTGGGCCGGCCTGAAAAGCTAGGTAAGCCAAGATCGCACTAGGGTTGACCCCGAGTCACGCCCAATAGGAGTGCCAGTCGCGAGGGCTGACCCCGAGTAACGCTCACTATGAGTGTCGGGTGCGAGGGCCGACCCCGAGTAATGCAGTAAGTAGTAGCTGTCGAGAAGTATTCTAGACTTCATGTTAGGTGCATCACCAGCTACGCGGAATTGCAAGGTAACCCGGAGAACCCGAACCTCTTCCTCCACACGCCAAGAAGACCAGCTTTGAATACTTCGTGGAATATTCTTCAGGGCAAACTCTGAAGACTGAGACCTCATCTGAGAGCAGTTGCATATGCCCATAGTGGTACTTAGCAGATGCACTATAAAGCACAACAATCCCATATAGATTTCATCCTAATTATTTGCTTGCTTGCGAATAAACGGCAAGTTAATCACCTACTCATTCACGCAACTTTCGATCTTTTCAACGTTTGGCCCCTGTCTGTTCAGTCGCCGTGATGCCGTACCACCTCCCCTTAAGCCCGGTCGATAGGGCTATTCAGCCTCCGGTGTACTACTTGCAAGTCCAAGACTCACTGATCTTGAGCGTCTCGATTTTCTGGACCATCGCCTATGTCCTCTATGTACGCCAGGGGTACCGCGACAAGTCCTATGGCATGCCACTCTTTGCCCTGTACGTTGTTTGAGATATACGCCCGGGATTTTGTTATCAGCCTTGGTGCACGTCACTGACTGTTTTTTATACAGGGCGGGAAATATAGCATGGGAGTTTCTCTTTGGCGTGGCGATGCCCACGTCTGTAGCCCAGGTGGTTTGCTTCGTGCCGTGGCTGGTTATTGACGTCTTTATCGTCCACACCACGTGGAAGTATGGGGCGCGCCAGTTCAAACAGTCTCCTGTGGTCGCCAACAACATCGGGCTCGTCTTGGCCTTCGGGGTCGCGTTTGTGACTGCGTCCTTTTACTTTTTCATCAAGACCGTCGGGCTGGACGCGGCCTCGTTTTACCTCGGTTACTCCGACCAGCTCCTGATCAGTATCACGTCCCTGGCACAGCTGCTGAGGCGGAATAACACCCTTGGACACTCGTGGGGTATTTGGTAAGTTGTACCTAGACATGTTGAGGGATGATCCGGCATCCAGCATGCATGCGCTCAGACAGCTTACGATACATGTGCAGGTTCTGTCGAACATTCGGCACATTTCTCTCCATTGTGTTGTTCTGCTGGCGGTACTTTCATTATCCCGATAGCTACCCTAGGGTCGCAGAGCCGATAGTCGTTTTCTTCTTCGCGGCGTCGGAAGTTTTTGATATTTTATACGCATTTGTATATGCGCACATTGAACGGAAGGAAAAGGCCGCAGTCAAAGAGAAGAGTAGATAGAAGTAACAATTTAGAGGGTAATTAGAAAAAGAAAATGCATTAAAGATTACCATCACATCTAAGGAACATGGAAATGGCGCCTCAAAGAATCTACCATACTAGTAGGTATGTGGGATTCCGAGCAACTTTCGTGGCCAAGTCACCCGCCCAAGAACAAGCCTCAAGCTTCGACCTGTAGCATCCACGACAACCACTGCATGTGGCTGCTCGTGGTATGGACTCCAATTATGCCACAGGTGGGAGGAGTTGTCGGCAATGACTCGGTGTGTATGGAGTGGGTGGGAAAGAAGATTCAGCCCGTGCAAATAATGCCTGCTTACTGTTGGAGTTTTCGCTGTCGATGTACAGGATCACGTCAAGGGGGTATCCAGTCATAGCAAGCTTCATCAACTCCTTAAAAGCATTGCATCTAGACTTTTCGCAGGCCCTCTGGTTATCCAAGGACGGAGAGTGCGAAAAGGTTTGCACAAGATCATCTGCAAGCAGAGAGTGCAGAACCTTATTGTCATTTTCGGCATAGTGGTTCACAAACTTCTTCGCCGCCTGCAAACGCTTGAACTACATTGTAGACTTGGAATTCTACGCGGTACAAAGCATGCAGCGAGACAGTGAGGAAGACATGATTTGGGTGCCGAAAGAGTGCGAATGTGACTGTCAAGGTAAAACCTGGGATCAGTCTGCAAGAGTACAATTCAATAGCTCGGTGAAGACGCGGTGCTGAAGGAGGAAGGAATCCGGCAGAAAGACTTTGAAGGGCAGTGTTCATGTGTTTGACTCAACAGCGCAGTGACACATCGACCCGACTCTTTCAATTGCTGATATGCGCAGTTGGTAGTCAAACGGTTAAATACTTCTTCTCAGTCCAGTTGAGTGACTGGGTGAGCACACTGTCACAGGCGGATGCAGCATGTCCTGACCATCTTCTTGCAGGCCAGGGATGTAAAAGCACAAGTACCTACTACAAGTACCTACACAGAAAAATAGAAAATGTACTTTGTACAACAATCTCTGTACATGTGCATGTATGTACCGTTCAAGTGCCCTGTGGTCTGCTATGTCCGAAATTTGGTCATTCAGTCTAGAAAGGAAGAGCGTGGCCCCCGCAGGCAGCGTTCTTCGTTTTCTAAAGCAGCGATAAGAGATACGTTTCGGACCAAGTTCACCATGGCCTATGTGGTCGCCGCAAAGGAATTCCCGATTAGCATTATTAGCCACCAACTTGTCTAAATGACACATCGTGAAAACCTAAATGTGAAGGGAGCGGAAAACAACCCGAAACAAAGGGAAGCTGGAGTATTTCACAGCCGCAACGTGGGTCCAGAAGCCATTTCGACGAAGACACTTTGCCGACTCGCAGTATAGGTGTGAGCCCAAATTTGCTTTCCAAGATGAATCGGCCGCTGGTCTGTTCCAGTCGATGAGCTCCCATGACGAGTCAATATAACTCCTCGTAATATCGTGCAAGTGATTCCTGATGCGCACTGACCTGCGCTGGAAAGTTCTGGGCAAGAAGCAAGAGACCAAGCGATATTATCGAACTCACAATGCAGATCGACGATGTCCGAATTGAGTTCGGTGAGCTATTACAAGCCTTGCGGCTTTTGAAGAAATTGGACAGCCGTATACCCACACATTCATTTCTCAGCAGCTTGCTCACACAATCGGAGAAAAGACTCAAGAACGGGACCGTCTATGCGTGAGTCGAAGCTCTCAGCAAATACACAGTTATGGGAAGGACAGCACCGCTGACCCTGTGGTGCGTTTGCCGGTTCCGGGGCCGAAAGCAAATGTTGACTCAGCTGCAGTCCAACAACACGAGGACCTTGTTTCCACAATTGAAAAACTGGAAAACATGCTTGCGCGCGTCGACAAGGTAGTGCAAAAAGAATTGGTCGAGCCGCTGATCGATGGCGACCAGGGTATCGATGACATGAGTGACGATGAGAATGATGGTTTCTTCGCAGAAATGGAACTCCGTGACTACTTGCGACAACAGAACGCATCGTTACGTGAGAGCACATACCTCTATCGGTCATTGAGCCAACTGAACAACATGAGAAGGGACCGGCGAAATAAAATGCGACCCTCTCTTGGAAAGACGATGCCCGATGACCAAGCGGCGGTGGATGCAGAAGCCGAATTAAGGGCGACGATGGATGCTCAGCTCGCGGAAATGCTTGCGAATGGTATTCCTGCGACAGGCTCCCGGAACACATGGGCACAATTTCAGTCCATAGCGCCGCCCATCTCTCGTCTGGGATGGCAGGGTGATCGGCGGAAAGAGTCAATCATCAACCTGTTTGAGTTACTCGTTGGCGAGCCCGAATCGACACTTGTTGGATCGCGGGAGCGAAATCCAGCCCCTCGCTCGATGCCAGTAAATACTGCTGACGCTAGAGCTCCTGGAGAAACGCCACTTCTGGAAAGAATTCTTTTTCATTCTTTGGAGCTCACCGGCATTCTGGTAAACGTTTCTGGCGGTATGTTCTACCGTGGCGATATTGGCTGCCTGCCGGGTATCATCCGACCGTTCAAAATGCTGGTATATTACGAAAAGCAACTTCGCGATTATGCAGCAAGCCTTCAAGCAGGAGATGCGGCCGTGGGCGAAGACAGCCCCATTGTGACTTTGAAGGATGACGTTGGGGCAAGTCGTACATCTGAGACAGGGCGCGAAAATAACAGCTCAGACGAAGGGGTCATTGAACGAGACAACTCGGTCCGCCTGCTGCATATCCGATGCCTGTTGGATTTCATTGATAATGAAGTCAACGCTAGAAAAGAACACCTCAAGAGCGGGCACTGCAAGAAAGTTACATTCAGCGATTTGTGGTATCTATTCCAGCCAGGCATCGAGGTCATCGACCAGGATAACAAGCAGGCTTACCGAGTTGTGCGTGTGATGATGCCGAAGCACAACACAATCTCGCCATGGGAGTGCTTCCGCAGTTTCAAATCCCAGGATGGCGAGGAAAACTTGGAGAAGTCAGCCAAAATCCATTGCATCTATATCGACTGTGATGGCGAAGAGATCGGTCCTGTCCTCAGGACTTTCGAAATTGCACAGTTCGACCAAGAGAAAATGATTGAGGCACTGCCAATCTACCCTCTCCGGATGGTCCGTGAGGCTGGCTTTCGAGATCGACTTGTCGAAAGGGGCAAGATGCTATGGGCTGTGATACAGGTCAAGCCCATGTATTACGCCGGTCATACTATTGACATAAGGGAGGAGGCAGACAGCCAGGTGATGATCGACTTCAGGGAGGCTCTGATACATGCCTCTGAGCATGACAAAGAATGGAAGCCCCACGTTGACGTTACACCCACGTCATTCGAGGAAGTCGTGGACCCCGAGAAGAAATATTGTCACTCCGTCTGCTGCTATGGCCAGGTCATACACGACGAATCGTATGTGGAGGTTAAGCAGACCGAGGAATTCATCCAAAGCCAGCTGGAAAGAAGCTTGGGGGATCGAGCATCGCTTATGCTTTATCCCCAGACGATCGGAGAGATTCTTGATGCAAATAGCACTCCTAACAAAGACGAGCTCATTCTCATGAGCTACAGGGCCTTTGGATTCATCCTGAGAAGCCGAAAGTGGGGTGAGTTAGTTTTCCTACATTGTGCTGTGCCTCATGCGGACAACACCTGAGGGACACTTCATACTGATAGTGACACCTTGATTAGCACAACTTGACTTGACATACATGAAGTATGAGAACGAAGCCAACAGAACCAACGTCTTACTAAGCGCCTTTGACCGACTCATCCTCCCCGAGGGCCATAAGGAGATGGTCTAATCGCTGGTGACACAACACTTTCGTGAAAAAAGGGTTAAGGAAAAGAATGCCGACATGAAGGAACCTGACGCAAAGACTGACCTTCGACCTATAATCTGCAACTGAGGCCAACATTTTTGCAACTTCCAGGGACATCCCTGCTTCGGAAAGATGTTCAAGCCAGCAAGCAATATGTTTTGGAGTATGTTGACGGGCAACTTTTGAATTTACCTCGCTTCGTGAAATGAGACGACAACTTGAAGGACTAGGTCAAAACTGAAATTTTTGAGGCCGTCAACGGAATGTATGCAGCCCTCCACATTTCTTTCATCCCGGTCCACTAATGTATGAACATAGGTTTCTTCTTTTCTATCTACATATCAAGTCTTTGGAGGATATTGAATCTCCTACAGCCCCCACCGAAGCCTTGCGAAGTCTTTCCACTGGATCTGAAGCCTATAATGAACAATACGAAAAGGCTATGGAGCGAGTCAATTCACAGAGCAGAGGCCGAAAGAATCTCGATTATTGAGTACTTCTTGAGCGGGACGGATATGTAAGACGGGTCTTCATGCTGTGAATGTATTGCTAGCCGAGGGACTACACAAGCGTCGACAGAACAGGACCAAGGGGTTCGCATTCACTCATGGACAAGACCTGCAAAAAGTGTAGTACTGGTAAAAGCCTTTGCAATTTATTAGTCCTGATATACCTAACAAGCAGCAGGCATTGGATTCTTCTATGTGCGGCAAGAATGGCCGTGACTTAGGAAACGTCTGTCAATCATTTGTGCTTACATGAATGTTCGTTTAACCAGTGCTATTGGAGAGCCATCGCAATCTCAGCTGGAATTGTACTCAGTCTATACTGACAACATCAAGGGTTGTAGGAGAGGTCTAGGTGCATCGTTTGATAGGTAGGCTACTCAAGAGAAACGCATCTAAAATTGGCTACCTTAATAAGTGCCAATAAGCTCATAGCACTTTTTTTCTATGATTCTCTATATACGTGCAAAAGATTGTCCTGGGCCGTCACAGCGTGCCTATTAGTTTAATAGTCATCTTTATTCTCGTTCCTCTGCCTTGCTATCTGTAGACCGTTCTCTCTCTACTCTCCTCTTCCTCGAGTCCTCATCGCCATCTGGACCTTTCTCCGCGTCTGCTCGTCTCCATATCTACTTCGCCCTGTCTTAATGGGGTGTTTTGTCATAGGCGTCCTCGAGGAAACCCAGCAGCGCCTTCCTCATCAAGTGAGAGTCGGAGAACGGGTAGACATCCAACTCAGCGAAGTGCCCTACACCGCCCTTGGCGGTAACCAAACTGGCGGTCGGCTGTCTATGGTCCAGCTCATCGAAGTAGATGCAGACCAGGTGGTCGTAGTCAAACAGAGCCACGTATCTCGTCCTGTGTTCGATGGCATACGCCGACGCCTGCCTGAGGAGGCGGTGGGAGCCCGCTAGGAAGTACGAACGGTGCCCATCCACTGCAGAGCGGGGCAGGCGCTCATGGGGCACAGTGCCGGAGCAGCACCAGCGGCCCTTGAACCAACACGTTACAGTACATGTTTAGGTGGATGGCAAATGGCCTGTTTCTATTTTTGATTCCTGTTCGTACTTGCCCTTGGTCTCAGCATTTATCTTGTTCCTCATGAAAATTTCTTTGGCTAATGTAAATTTCCTCACAAGGTTTTCTTCCAAGACTTTCAGCTGGTACCGCTGAGCGTAATTAGCGGGTTCTTGCAGGCCTTGAAGCTTACCGAACGCGACACGTCATTGGTGTATAACTGCTCCCTTGAATCACATAAAGCTAGCCCTTCAGCTCAACTGAGCTGGCTCAAGAAACTGTCGAAACAACATCTCCGTTACTTCAGGGGGCTTCCTCGATTTTCTACCCTCTTCCCACATAGCCATGTTGTCCCCTGACGGCTCTGAAATCCCACAGGTGTTTGTGCCCCGGTTTTGGACACCCCCCGATGATCCAGACAAGCCGCCATTCCCATACATCGCTGGATTCACCACACAAATCCACCGCCATGTGCCCCCTCCAGCATTCGGCGCACAAGATTACGGCCCCGAGCCCAGACCACAGCTATCACCGGATTACATGCGAAGCGTGCCGCAGAGCAAGTTGGTCGTCGACAACACTCCCATGGAGACGCCACCGTGCCAGGCAGACACTGCACAGCTGACCATCACCAATCCCATCTCTGTGGGAGGCGCCAACGGCGCCCAAGTCGTCACGTGCTCCATCACCCCCGGCCAAGAGACCGCCGGCCAGCCCTTCCGGGCGGTCGCCAAGATATACGACGCTTTGTACTATGATTTCTCGGAGTCGATTGCCCACGAGCCCCGCGACGTTGTCACCGAGGCCGACAGGGACTACAGCCGCGAGGCCGCCGCTTATGAGCACCTTCAGGAGACGGGACAGACCGGCTCCTTTTGCCCCGCCTACTATGGCTCATGGTCCTTCATACTTCCCATCACCAGCAGGGGTAAAGCCCAGACAAGGCCCATCCGCCTAGTCTTGATTGAGCACCTCGAAGAGACCAGTATGCGCGGCAGCCTCATCCAGAACGGTCCCAGGAATATGGGCAAGGATGCTTTTCACCTCCCAGAAGAGTATAGGCTTGAGGTACTGGCGCTCGCTATGGACGGCTACGTCAAACAGCTGCACTCCGGCATTGATCAGCTAGACTTTGCCGGGCGGAGCCTCATGCTCGACCCAAGGGGCCCCCCGGCCAAGCCCGGTCAAAGCCGCCCTGTGGTCGCGGGCCTGCCCCTGCCGCGCATTGTGCTTATCGACTACAACGCGGCCATTGTGTTCAGCCAGGCCAAGAGACTCAAGAGGCCGCTGCAACTAGACTGGCCGAGCCCGTGTAACCCGATGATATACTTCTGGGATGAGCCCATGGAAGGCTTTGGAGGATGGATCCCTCATGAATGGCATTACAATCCAAAGTACGTTCAGGAGTGGCTCAAGGCGAGGTTTGGCACAGAGGAGCAGCGGAAGCTGTACGCTCCTGTGGAAGAAGAGCCGGTCGTCAGAGATTACGACCTGCCTGAGTATCAGTGATGATGGCCGGTGCTTGAGATGATGATACAAGCGAGCGAGCTGTATAGACACTTGTAATTAGGCCAGAGCATAATTAAGACTGAAATTTGCATGTGACTTCTACTCCGTCCTAGTGAAGTCAAATATGGTCTGAATCGCCTAACAATTGTGCCTGTCAATAAGAGCATGGGCAGCAAGCGGTCAGCAAACTGTCATCAAACACACGCCTGCTAATTAATTGGCATCTCATTTATCAATCTGTCACTCGAAATGGATGAGTCCTTTAGCATTAGTTTGAAATAGGACTCCAACTGACGAGGCGTTCACTTTTGGAAATGCTGTACTGCATTGGTGCATATGAATACATAAAATTGTACAAGTCTGTCTATATGCACAGGCGACGTACATACATACTAACACCTGCCCCGAGGGCGATCACCACAAGGCCACGAACCTAGCCTCCTACCCACAAAAGATATTATTGGAAGCAGTGAAAGCATTAAGAGGGCCGGAGATGCCAGAAGGATGAAGTTCACAGCAAGAACAGGAGTTATGCGTTTAATAGGCCGTGAAAAGTGGCCAAAAGTAGGCCACCAACCTGCGGCGTCTACCAACTTACGGCAGCCACCAACTTCAAGCGGCCACCCGGGCTGCCTGGGGCCCGTCTCAGCCCGTGGGGGCGGCGGCTCGTTTCAATACCTAGGTACGCTCCATCAACTTGGCACCGGCATGCAGCCAGTCCAAGAACCTCTATATATTCTCTACATCCAGCATTCATATCTCGGCAAGACGAGTACCTCAGTGTATTCCCAAGTTCTTCTGCTCACCTCATAGCGCACATCATCAACCACGCCATCTTCACAGTACAACCAGTTTAGGCCCATCTAAGGCGCCCTATTCAACTCACCACCATGGGTACCAATAATACCGCGGACACAGGCAAGAAAGGCTCGGACAAGAACACCAAGAAGCCAGCCTCCACCACTGCCAGTGGTTCCGTGAAGAAATCCGCCCCCACCGGCACCGGCGCTGGCGCCGGAGCCGATGGCCACAAGCCCGGGAAGCCCGTCAAGACCGCTAGCCGCCCGAGCTCGAGTGCTGGTGCCGACGCTCCGCCCCCCCCTCTCGGGACAGCCTGGCAAGGGTAACCCGACCCCACATGAGGACGAAGATCCCGCACCTCCCCTGCATAAATGGAAATTTCCCGTGGCCGTCTTTAAGGAGTCAGCGTACGCCCACCCAGCTTCTATAGTACGCCCACCCAGCTTCCACCGTTGGCCCACTTAGTATAAGGAAATTGGCTGCATGCATTAATAAAACATAAGTATACCTTAGGAGCTAGCTTTTTAAAACTATAGCTACCTTGCTACTTTATTACATTTACCCTGCTATTCTTTATATAATATATTTAATTTATATTTATTATATTAATATAAGGTATAAAAAAAAAATTTTATAACTTTAAATTAATCTATTTACTTTATTATTACCTACTTTATATAATATTTAACTTACCTTATAACTTTATTATAAAACTACTTTTTGCTTATTTATTTATATATTTTAATTAACTTATTTATAAAATAATGCTTATTCTTTTTTATTTCCTTAAATTAATTATTTTATAACCCTTACCTTTAAAATTATTTTATTATTAATAACCTTAAATTTAATTTTAATATAATTATAAATAATTAAAATAATAACTTAAAAATAATAATTTAAATATTTAAAATATTTATAATATATTATTTTTATTTTTTAAGATAATTATAAATATTTCTTAAATATAGCTTATAAAATTATACTTAAATTTAAATAACTTTGCTATTTATTTATTAAAATATAATTTAATAATTATAATTCTTATATTAATACTTATAAGGTAAAGTATAATCCTTATTTTTAAAATATACTTAATATTTAAATTAAGCTATATAAATATATAATTATAATTATATAAATTAAAAAAGATTTACCTTGCTATTAAATTATTATTAAATATATATTTAATAATAAAGTAAAGTATTATAGTAAAAAAGTAAATAAAATTATAAATAAGTTTATTAATAACTTTAAATAATAAGTTAAAAAAGTAATAATAATTAAGCAAAAAAGGTTAAAAAAGCTATAAGTTTTATATAAAATAAATTGCCTATTTAGCTTTATAATTAAGAAAGATATAAATAATTTAAGTAAATATATTTAATTACTTATTTTATATATATTTCTTAAAATATATAAGTTTTTTTTATATTATAAAAACCTTTTCTTTATATAATTATTTAGCATTTAAAACCCCTAAAAAATATTCCTTTATTAAAACTATTTTTTTACTTTATTATTAAAAATAATATAATATTTAACTATAATAATATTTATTAAATACCTTTATTATTTACTTTCTTTATATAATTTTATATAAATAAATAACCTTTAAGGATATTAATAATTAATATAAATTACTTAATAATTAAAATATTAAGGATTAATTATTAATTAAATGCTTTATTAATAATTTAATTAAAAATAGCTATTTAGTTAATTTATTAATTAATATAAAATATTAAGTTAAGTATATTATATTTTATTTTATAAAGGTAATATAATTTAAAAGCCTTAATAACTCTTTTTTTTTTATTATAAATGCTATTTATAATATTAATTAATATAAATTATTACTTATTTATATAATTAAGATAATACCTTAATAATGCTTATATACTTACTTATTAGCCTTAATAAGCAGTTAAATAATTAAGGATTTTACTTAAATGCTTAAAATATTAAAAAGCTATAGGGTTAACTATAACCTTTAAATAGTAAATGCTAAGATTATTAAAAGCAATGTTATTTAAGTAATATTTCTATAAGCATAAATCATTATATATTAATAGTACCTTTTTTAAGCATTTAAATATAATATTTATATTGCTTAATATATCTTAAATAATATAATATTTAAAGAAATAAAGGCAGAGTTTCTTATTATAATTAATATTATTTATATTAATAACTTTAAGAAACTTTAAAGCTTATTTTAATAAAAGTAAGTAAAGGTTAATAAGGGTATAAAAGCTATTTATTATATTAATAAAATTTAGCTTAATTATTGCTAATAAAGTATTTATTAAGCATACTTTTTATATATAATGTACTTTAATATTCTTTTTATATTTATTATAAAGAGTTTGCATTATTATTTAAAGATATAGCTTAGTTACTAAAAATATATATATATAATTATAATAAATACCTTTTTTTATTTAATAATAGCTTTATTTTAAAGGTTTTAAAATATTTTAATTAAAAAGTTAAAAATAGCATTAAGTATATTACTTTATTTCTTTATATCCTTAATTAATTTATTATTTATAATATCTTAAATTATAAGTAATTTTTTTATTAATTATTATAATAAGTTAAAGAGTTTAAATTAACTTAATATATTATATATAAAATTATTTTAATATATTATAAAATGCTTATATGCTTATAAAGTTAATATTATAATATAAAAGGGTAGGGCATTTTACTTAATTAACTTTTATTTATATTAATACTAATTAAAACTCTTTATATAATAGCTAGTATAAAAATTTACTTATTAATTATAGCGTTATATTATAAAGTTATTATTATATTCCCAAGGGCTTTTATTATTAAAAAATGGTTTAATATTATAAGTTAATGCTAAAAACCCTAATAAGCTTATTAATCTTAAGCTTAAGCCTATATAAGAACTATACTTTACCCCTTCTTTATTAAATAATTTATTACAAGATATAAGTATTCTTAATTATTTCCTTATTAATAATATTGCCCTTGGAATTAGGCTAAATAATCCATTCTTAATTTCACCCTTAATCCTATTTAACCCCATTAATGCCATATATACCTCCTTAAATAAAGCTAAGCTTAATGCCCTTAAGCTTAATTTTAATTAACATGCTCATATAAGCATAAAGATAAATATTAAGCCCTTTAATAAAATAAAGCCCTTTTTATTATTAAAGAAAAGGAAAATTAAATAGGCTAAGAATAATTCCAAAAGGGCAAAGGTAAATTATTATACTTATAAATTAAATGCATTAACTGCCTTAATTAAGTAATTATTAAGCTAAAATAAAGCGGCAAAGAAAAAAAAGATAGCCTTTAAAAGGAAATATAAGTAATATTATTAGCTTAAGTATAAATATATAAATTTTATTTATTTAAATATATTATTAATTAAGGTAGCATAAATATTATTAAATTTTATACTTAATTTTAATAAATAAGACTTAAAGCATAGCTTTATATTAAGGCTTGCTTAAAATATTAGCTTTTTAAAAGAAATAGTATAAAGCGCATTAAATATAATAAAAGTAAGCAGCTTATTAAAATATATATCCTTATATTACTTAATAATGTTGCTATTATACTTAAGCAATATATTAAAGCCTATTTACTAATTTTATTTACCATTTCCTTTAAATATTTTAAAATATCCTTTATTACTTATTTTTAATTTCTTAATACTTTAACTTTAAACCCTGCTTTCTAACCTTATAATATTAAATAATTATTTAGCTTAAGCTTTCTTAAATTAAGCAATACATAAAAAGTATATTAAAGTAATTATTGCTAACTATAAATTAAATTAAGCTTAATAATATGCTAAATAAGGTATATTTAAAAAACTTAATAATATGTAATATAAAAAGAAATATAAGCTTTATTATTAGCTTATAACTTGCATTAATATAATTTATACTGGTTGGCTTATAGCAAACTAAGCTTTATTAAATAATTTATTAATATATAAAAAAAGCTTAATTATAAGAAATATTATAAATTATAAGCTAGTTAATTAAATTAATAGTAAAAAATATATATAGCTAAATTATATAAAGAATAATAATAATATAAATAATAATAAGTATTATAAGGGCTTAAAAAAGTTTAGCTTTATGCCTTTAATTAATAAAATTATAATTAAAAAGTAAAAATAAGGTAAGTTTGCTATTAATAATAATATATTATTTTATATAATTTAAGCATAAAAAATGCATAATTATACTTTATTTATTATAAACCTTAATAATTAAATCTTTAAAAAGATTTAAGAAAAGTTTAAGATAAAAAGGGATTAATTATTTTATAAAACCCTTTATTTTAATTAAAATTAATAAAGATATTATATTAAAAAGAGTATATTTCTTAATATACTAAGAAAGTTAAGTAAGGAATTTATATAAAATTATATTATTATTAAGGGTAGTTTTTAAGCAAGGAATATAGCATTATAGCGTTTAATTAAATATATAATATATATATATAATAATTCTTAAATAAGTTTACTTAATACTAATATTTTAAATTATGCTATATTTATTTTAAACTTATTTAATATCTTTAAATATATTATTATTAAGTTTTTTAAGCTTACTACTTATAATATAATCCATTATTTCTTATTAAGAGATTTACACCTCTTAAGTTTTTTATTTTATTATTTTTTAATTATATATTTTATTAAGATCTTAATTAATATTTCTCTTATATTGCTTAATAAGCTAGCTAAGTATAATATGTTTAAGGGCATAAAAATTATTATTAAGTATTCTTTCTCCTTAAAATAAGCAGTAAGGGTAGGGTTTGGTTTTTCTTTTTCCTTATAAGCATAAAATAAGCCTTGGCATTTAATATTTAATTAAATATATTATAATATATAAATATTAAAAGGTATAATTTACTTATTTAAATATCCTTAAATTCTTTATTTATTTATATTTATACTTTAACTTATTTACTTTCTTTATATCTTTAATTAATATTATTAAAATACTTCCTAAGGCTGCTAATAAGCTTGCCTTTAAGGGCTTTATTATTGCCTTTAAGGCTTTTAGGAATATAAATGCTGATAAGATTACTATTTTTAATAATAAAAAGCATATTAAGACATATAAAACTTATTTTTATATTTATAAAAGTATTAAAAGCAAAGCATATTATTTTTAAAGTAAGTATAATTTGCATAATAATAAATTATTAATTCCTTTTATTTAAGTATTTAAGTATTTTATCCTTATCCTTTTAAATTATTTTATTATTATATTTATATAAACCTTTTCTTTAATAAAAAAACTTTTTTATTATAATAATGGTAAACTTAATTATATTTATTTAAAGGTTATTAAGTATTAATTAGCATTAATTAATGTAAATAAAAGGAATTTAAAAATATATAGCTAGCATTATTTAATGCTAACTTATAAAATGCTTATATCCTTAAGTAATTAAATTGCTGCCTTTGCCTATTGCTAAGCATATTGCTTTTCTTTTTACTATGCCGCTATATATTTTTTTATAACCTTAAGTTTTTAAGCTATAATTTTAAATAGCTTTTTAAGGCTAACTTTAATATAAATAGGATTTTTAAGGTTATATTAAAATGTATTATTAAATTAATTACTATGGCTAAATATATTATTTAAAGGTAATATATTATTAAACTTATTGCTATAGTTAAATATATTATTTAAAAGTAATATATTAAAGTTATTTTTTTAATTAAATATAGTAATTATTATAATAAACTTAAGTTTTTTTAAAGGGGTATTATTAATATTATTATGCTTACATTTATTAACTTTTTAAATCTTATTACTTAAAATATTTATTATTTATTGCTTTTAATTAATGCTAAACTTTATAATTACTTATTTTACATTTATTTAATTTAAAAGGTCCTTATTAAATTTAATGCTTTAAATAAGTACTTATAGCTAATTTTATGTAACCTTATCCTTATTAATAAAAGTATTATAATTTTATATAATAAAAATTATAAAAAGGATATGCTTAAAACTCTTTATTAACTTTTTAATATTTATAAATAGCTTAATAATTCTTAGGAATAACTAGGTAAGTAGGCTATAAAACTTAATAACTATATACATTGCATTTAATATAAAGTTTTAAATTTCCTTAGGATGCTAAGTTTCCCAAACCATGCAGTAAAAGGGCTAAGATTATATAATGTATTGCGCCTTATAGCAAGCAAGATTATAGGCAAGCTAATACTTATTTATTTAGCCTTAAAATAATAGTTAAGCATTTAATAACCTAGCCTTTTTTATAATTACCTTATACTTAATTTAATTATAAGCTAAGTTATTTATTATTAAGATAACCTAAGTTATTAACTTTATTTACTTTAGCTAAATTAAATAGCTAATATATTAATTAATATAATTAAAGCTTTAAAGCATTTATACTTAAATTTTATAGCTATATATATAATATAAGTTAAGCTTAGCAAAGCTTATTATAATATTTATTAAGAGCATATTAATATTAAAGTTAAAGTTATTAAAGTTAATAATAATAATTACCTTTTTTTATAAAAATATGCTAATATAAATAAATAATATATATAAGTTAGCTTTTTTTATTATTCCTTATAAAATCTTATAATTAATTAACAACTTATATTATATATATAATTAACATTAATTAATGCAAAGGGATATAAAGATATAATTAAATGGAATTAGTATTAATTAATATATAAAATTTAATAAGAAGTTATATTAATTAATGCCAATTAATTAAAGTACTTATAACTAAGCTTAAGGGGTTAATATTATAATAAGTACATGCTTATCTTTATTTATTTATTAAGCATATAAGTAAAGTATATAGGTTTATATTAAGGATTAAGCTAAGATATAGCTAAGAATTGCTTTTTACTTTATTAAGATAATATTAAATAAATTAGCATTAAAGCTAAGCATTTATAAGTATTTAAGGCCTTAATTGCTAATATTATAAAGTAAGGCTTTTAAGTAGGTAAATCTTAATTAAAGCACCTTACCTTTTTTTTTTTAATTTCTTTCTTTTATTACTTTACAAGCCTTTATGTTAATAAATTTGCTACTTATCCTTAAATCTTTTAACATAACCTTATTTAGCTGCATTATTATCTTATTTAAAACTTATAAGGCTTAAAAGCTAAGTAAATTTATAAACTTAATGTTAAGAATTTAAAGTAAGCTATTATTTAAATAAACCCCGGCAGCTTTATTATTGCTGCTAGCATCTTTAAAAATAAAAACTTTATTATTATAAAAAATAATTATTATAATCTTTATTAGCTTAGCCTTTTAAATGCTAATAGCTAAGTTATTAAAGTATATATTTATAATGCGATTTATATAAGGCTTTAAAATAGCGTAATTTAATTTATAATATTTAATATAATAAGTAAGGATATTATTACGCAAGTAAATCAGCTATAATAAGCTATTTACATAATTTAATAACTTTAAGATTATATTTATTCCTTATTATATGCTTATGCAATTTAGCATACCTTATATAGCCTCTTTATTAATATTAATATTTATTACAATATTATATTATTATTTAATAAGTAATAAGCATTATTACTTTTAGCTCTTAATAATAACTACCTTTATTAATTCTTCCTTTTGCTTATTAAATATACTTAAGTTACCTAAGTACTTAAGGTATCCCATTTTAAAGTTTACCTTATTAAATATATTATTAAAGCTTATAAAAAGCATTATATTTTCTTAAAATAAGCTATTTAAATTATAATAATTATTAATATTATTAATAGCCAATATTATAAAAATTAATATAAGGCTTATTAAGTTTTACTTAAGCTTAAGGCCTTAATATAATAACTTAATATTTAATTAAAGCTTATAGGATTATAATGTATTAACCTTATAAAAAAGATAAGCTTTATCATAAATTATATAATTTTAATAAAATTAATAAGAATAAAAAGCTATCCTATAATATTTAATATATTAAATTATTATATTTTTTATTATACTTATCTTTTTATTTAAGTATTACATTAATTAGCTACTTATAATATAATTAGTTAATAGCTTTATTTAAATGCTTTTAAGGATAGACTTAGCTAATTTGCTATTTTTATTACCTTT